TTTTTTCAAAAAAATTTCTCAAAACTTGTAAACCAAACAAGTTTTCCAAACAAATCTCTCTCTCATAAACATCAAATCAATCACTTTTTCCAAAACTCTCTCTCAAAATAATTTTCCAAAACATCTTTCCAAAAAAACCAAACCAAACAACTTTTCGTACTTTTTATCTCCCAAACTCATCTCCCAAAATCAAACCAAACAAGCCCATAGTATCTTATACAAAATTTTGTACTATAATGATAATTCTATTAGTAGTATTTTTTGTTGGAATGTGTCTCACATCGCCTGGAGTTACCCCATCTGTATTGGTTATAAAGCTCTAGTTTTCCTCTCCTTAACACCTGGGTTTTAAGGAAAAGTGTGGATTGGGCTTTTTAGTTTGGTATCAGAGCTTGGTTGGACCTGTGATTGAGGTTTTAAGGAGAAGTGTGGGTTGTGCTTTTCAATTTGGTATCAAAGCTTGGTTGGGCCTGTGATTGGTGTGCCGTTTGTCCAGCTACTGTATGTTGTGGTCCAGGAGGGTGTATTAGAATGTGTCCCATATCGCCTGGAATTGCCCTATCTGTGCTGGTTATAAGACTCTAATTTCCCTCTCATTAACACAGGGTTTTAAGGAGAAGTGTGGGCTTTGCTTTTCACTTTGTTGAAATGTATCCCACATCGCCTGGAGTTGCCCCATCTGTGCTAGTTATAAGGCTCTAGTTTCCCTCTCCTTAACACCTAGATTTTAAGGAGAAGTGTGGATTGGGCTTTTCAATTTGGTATCAGAGCTTGATTGGGTCTGTGATTGGTGTGCCGTTTGTCCGACTACTGTAAGTTGTGGTCCAAGAGGGTGTGTTGGAATGTGTCCTATATCAACTGGAGTTTTCCTATCTGTGTTGGTTATAAGGCTATAGTTTCCCTCCTTTTAATACTTGGATTTTAAAGAGAAGTGTGAACTGGGCTTTTCATTTTTTTTCTTGTTAATGCAGAACAATGCTGTTAACAACATTGTCTACTATAGTAATATTACTATTAAGAATTAACAACTACAAATATAGTTGTTGTTGTTACTATGATTATCAGTAATACTAGTATTACTGCTGCTTCTAGTATTATTATGATATATGTATATGCATATTTTCTTCTTGTAATGGTAATCATCTATACATAAATTTGCGTTTGTTTGTGTATGTGGTTACGCGTAATTTGAATAACCCAACATCTGTCCATTGGTTATATTAAAAAATTCTCACTGTTAGTAGGGTACCAAATGCAGATAACTGAAGGTATTCCAAATGCCACAGCAGTACAACTTGATATAATGGATCATGGAAGTCTTTGTGAGTACATTTCGCAGGTATGTATTTTGCATGGCATATATCAGATAGGAAAATCTATCAGCAATCGCTTTCACTAATGCCTTGGACAAAACTCATGTAAAGATCTCAATCAACCTCTAGAAGAAGGATGCTGACATAGGTGCAGGCATACTGGTGTCACCTATGATCTCAGAAACTCAGTTGATGCCCACCTATGACACTGATGTTTATCCAACATGGGAAAACTAAAGTTCAAATAGTTCTGTTAATTATACTTGAATGTCAACTATTTGCTCCTTTCTCAACAATCGTGTTTAAGGTCAGGCAGACTTGATCGTGATCTTAAATTGTGAATCTATTTTCTTGGCCTGATGCAGGTTGAGGTGGTTATCAGTTTATTGCCTTCTAGTTGCCACAACATCATAGCACATGCATGTATTGAGGTATTACACTCTTCCATCATGTATTTCACTTTTGTCAGTAACTCACTCTAATTGCAGCCTAAGATAAATACCACCGAGGCACCCTAACTCAACCCAAAAAGCTAGATTGTGAAGTTAGGATGCCTTCATGCTTATACACTACACATCCCCTTTGTACACAAGCTATGTGGGACTTCGCTTCACACCAACAAACCTAAGGCTGTATACACAATAAACATAGTCAATGCAGACTCTGATAAATCCTTACAACAAATTACTGGATTTGTGATTGATAGAAATGGTACATGAATTAACATCTGATTTAGTGGAAAGAGATTAATTTTTTCCAGGATTTGCAGAAATCAACCCCATTTTTATGCATCTAAACACAATTGTTTAGACTGCCTTTTCAAGGTTTACAACATTCTTCCACCATTAGACTGCCTTTTCATAGATTCAACTACACTACTTTTAAACACCTGAGCAATCAAGAGAATAACAGGTTGCACTTGAAGCTTCCCTGCATAACTTTCATGAACACTATACCTTTCTCTTCTATTAGACACCATGAAAAATAACAGAGAAATAGTGTGTCACTTCTTTTCAAAATTCTTTATGCAGTAGTAATTGATTTCCACAACTTTTATTGCACAAGCCTATTGTGGTGAGTGCAACCTTCAGTGATGTCAAACGACTATTAAGAAATTCATCCAATTAGTCAATTTATCGAAAGGCAGAAGATTTGGAGAATTGATCCAAAAGGGAATAGAGGAAGAAACACAAAAGGCCACAGCCTTAAACTCACAATTCTATTAATCAACTCTAAATAAACATATTGCATCAGGAAACCCTAATGAAAAAGTTAAACCCCCCCCCAAAAAAAAAAAAAAAAATCCCAAAATATAAATGATATCAAAATTAATTACTCAACCCTATTTCTTCAATGAATTCCATTCCATTCTCCACCATTCAACTTTAGCAATCTCTATCCTTAAAAAATGTGCACTGAATGGAATGAGATATATAGGACAGTTTACCCAATAATTTTAGTTAACTGAATAATTGCTAAAATATTCTTCTTGGAGTTATTTTGGTTCTCAATAGTGCCATTTGACTGCCTATGAACTTGAGAATGATAGATACCATTTCAAATTTTGAGCACATTGTCCTCTAAAATGATGCAATAATGTTAGGGTTTATGCAAATTATATAAGATTAACAACATCCTAAATACATCTTTGGTTTTCTTAGTGGGTAGTAGATGAGCAATTTTCAAGAATTTTCGTTCAAAATTGTTTCAATTTCCAAAGTTTGCCAGATTTCCATTTGGAGTTTCTTGTTTCTTGTAATGGTAATCATCTATACATAAATTTGCGTTGAACCCTATTCCTTACCTACTAGAGTGCCATATCTGTGTCTAACACATGTCATCATCGGATATATGTCCAAACATGGCCTATATATAGCGCTTGATTGCAATGAATCTTATTTGTTTTTGGGCATAATTGATTATGCCCTTATATCCAATGCCTGTTTGTCAGCAGTTTCATTTATTTTCTCTAAAATCTTCCTTTTCTCTCCGCTTCTCTTCTTGCTTCTTTTCTATCATCCTTCTCGTCTTTTCCTTCTCTCCTCTCCTATAGGCTATATCCCTTCTCTCAAGTTTTTACTATTGCTACAGCAGCCCAAGGTATGAGGTGCATATTTTTGTTTTGGGTTTTTCTACTCACTTTTGGTGTTTTGGGGCTAGACACCTTTTTGGTGAGGTTTTGGAAAAAAAATCCATTTACTTGTACTATCTTATTCTAATGGAAGTTGTTATTACTAGGACTATCATAGGTTGGTGATTTCACGACTATGTAATATGCACCTTAGGTAGAGCCCAAACCAAACGATTACCATTTGGAAAGCAAGTTGGACAAGCCTTAGAACCTTAGAACTTTTGAAGCATGGATGCTATGGGCGATCTTCATTAGCATAGAAGATGCCATGGGAGAGCATCATTGGTATAAAGTTTGCTTTGGACAAGGTCAGGATCATCTTGGTCAACCATCCGTGGAGGCTGGTTGACCTAGGGTGTTAGGTCACTGGCGATCAGCCAAATAGGTTGGTTGAATAGGTTGGGTCCAAGTTTTAGGCTGTCTATCAAACCCACACATGGGTTGGCCCAACAAATAGTTTGGGCCGACCTACATTGACGTATGTAGTATGGATCACTCTGCAATGGGGATTTGCTGACCTGCTGAGATCTTTGTCTAACTTTCACTTAGTTTGTGGGCTGACCAAGGCTCACAGTGGATCAGCCTATGCTTGGAAATTTTTGAATAACTAGTCATTTTCTTGGGAAAGTATAAATAACAAGGAAACGTCACGTGGTATTTTTTATGAGAAAAACTCTCAAAGTGCCTATACATTTTTTATACACTCTCAATCACAACTCTTCAAGGTAGGTATCCTCCTTATGTAAGTATGAACTTGAGAGATAATCATTGCACCCTAGTGTGGAGAGCTTGCTTCTTTTGAAGCCTGGAATTTCTTGTTGGAAGTATAATTTCTCATCCTAGTGTTATGCATTCTTGTTTGTAAAAACTATTGCCACCTACTACCGCTATACTCTATTCTCACATTGAGACACCCTAGGCTCTTGGAAAGAAACTTAGTTAAGTGTTGGAATGTGTCCCACATCACCTGGAGTTGCCCCATTTGTGCTGGTTATAAGGCTCTAGTTTCTCTCTCTTTAATACTTGGGTTTTAAAGAGAAGTGTCAGCTGGGCTTTTCAATTTGGTATTAAAGCTTAGTTGGGCTTGTGATTGGTGTGCCATTTGTCCGGTTACTGTATGTTGTAGTCTAGGAGGTTGTGTTGCAATGTGTCCTACATCACATGGAGTTGCCCCATCTGTGTTGATTATAAGACTCCAGTTTCTCTCTCCTTAATATCTGGATTTTAAAGAGAAGTGTGAGTTGGACTTTTCAATTGGATGTGGGAGGTTTCGTTTTTTTGTGGTCGTTGGTTTTGGGTTGAGCCAACAAAACACTATTCTTGTGTTTGTGACTCTGAACATTGTAAAGATTTTAGGTTGTCCTAGGGAAAATCTGAAGGTGTAGGAACTGTTTTGGGTGAACCTAAGGGAAACCCATTTGATATAGTGGGTAACACATGCAAGGAAGGCTGAGATTGAATGTAGGCACAAGCTCATTTCTTTAATTTATCTGCAATTTAATTTACATGCTTTGAATTTATTAGATGAATGTACAATTGAATATGCTAATTTCTAAATGAATGAATGATGAGAATGAAGTATGTGATTAACATTGCTGGGAACAATTAAGTAATGTTAATAGACATCTTGGGTTAACCAATTAAGGAAAATTTTATATTGATCAAACTTGGTTGATCAGAGAGAGAGTTTGATTGACTAGAAATTCTTCTGATAAAGAAAAGATCCAACATTTGGGGTGTAGCATATTCATAGTTGTAATCAAATTAATTAAAAACTGAGTTTGGTCTAAGAACATTGCCCCCTTAGTGGGTTGACCTTGCAAATTTTTACTTTTGTATTTGCTTTTCTGTTTTATTTTTCCATATTGTTTTTGCTGCTAATACAACCTACATAAATTTATTATTGTTCCTCATGCACAAACAAGTGATATAAGAGCTTTGGGCCTAATTTCACAACAATTTTTATTTGAATGAGCAGTCTAATTTCACCGCTGGGTGATCACTGGCAAGTCTTTAGTCCAATTCTCTTTCCATAGTGATATAGATTTATATATGTAGCTTGCTGGAAACATGGTATGTTAGGATAATTGGGTACATGTCTGTTGAGTAAGCCCACAGGGTAATTGAGGTGTGTGGTATGAGTTGCATTTTGTAACAAGGCAATAAAGTTGAATATGGAGAGATAATAGGGACAGAAAAGAGAAAAGAAAGAACACAAAGGTTTAACCTATATGAAGCATGGGCACTCCAAAAATAGTGTTGTACGAGTACCGGGTGAGGGTACGCGTATCGGTACGGCAGTACAAGTACCGGGTATGTCAAATACATGTCGAGTACGACAAATGTGTTTGGGTACGGCATGAGTACATCGTCGGTATGGCACGGGGTACGGTGAGGTGATTTTATTTTTTTATTTTTTTGTAACTGCTAGAATTTGTTGCAACCTTTATTATTCTTCTTTCAATTTTGAAAATAATTTATTTCCAACACCCTTTACCCACGAGTCATGATTTTGCTCTCTTTTGCATCGTATTTTAGACAATCAAAAAAAAAAAGAAAGAATTATATAACTTTTTAGACAAACTGTTCTATTTTTAGTTTTACTATTGAAACTTTGAATTGTATGTTGGATGTTTATCTACAAATTTAAAAAAAAAAAATATTTGACATACCCCAATCGCACCCGTACTCTACTTTTTTAAGAATTTGCCGTATCCGTATCTGTATCCGTACCCGTATCCGTACCCGTACCCGTACCCGTACTTACACCCATACTTCATAAGGTTTGACGTGGTTCAGCCAATATTGGCCTACATCCACACACACAACCTTATGGGCTTCATATTTCATTCACACAACTTGATACTCTTGTTTACATGATACACCATATATATAGAGTGGGAGATAGAATCAAATCCCTTCAGTTAAAGTTTGAAATAAATCAAAGATACAAAAGAATTATAATATGCACAAATCATGGAATCTCCATATATTCTAATATCTTCCATATATTTTGATATCTTTGACAATATAATATTATTTCCAATACTCCCCCTCAAGTTAGAACACGGGACAGTTGAAGTGAAATATCTAACTTGAAATCAAAAATAGGATGATCATTACAAACAACTACAATGAAGTTTTCGAAAGACAACAACAATTGTAATAGCTCCCTTCAATGACAACTTCAAATAACATATTCAAGAAATTAACATCTTGCAACAGAGAAACGTGCATTGAATCAGTTATGATGGCAACAAGAGAAACCAACGGAGAGAGAGAAAGCAACAAGGCCGAATAAACTTGAAATCACCACAAACAGAAAGGTCAAAAAAAACGGCGTCCCAAAAGAATGCTACCGCATACACCGGTAGTCCCAAAATAAAAAAGAACCAAATATGTGCTTACCACATCAATACAGGGACCCTAAACGGGTAGAGAAGTAGCTGGAAAACTCGGCGTATCACAGAATAATGCTACCGAGCACACCAGCAGTCCCAAAATAAGTAAACATCACAAAGTTTGCTTACCACATCAACAAACTAGTTGTCAGCACAAGGAAGAGGAAAAACACCTTGATAACAAAAAAATGTAAAGTGAGAAAGCAGTCCATAGAGAAACGCCTAGGGTTCAGTAGGCTCTGATACCAAGTTGAATTTTATAATAAGGCAATAAAGTTGAATATGGAGAGATAATAGAGATATAAAAGAGAAAAGAAATAACACAAAGGTTTAACGTGATTCAGCCAATATTAGCCTACATCCACACATACAAAGCCCTATGGGTTACGTCTTTCATTCACTCAACTTAATACTCTTGTTTACATGAGAAACCATATATATAGAATGGGAGATACAATCAAATCCCTTCAGTTAAGGGAAAGACAGATAGGCAAACTTGAACAAAAGGTGTTAGCTGTAGGCAACAGAAATAGATGTGTGGTCATGTACTTACTACATATACTAAATTGAAATATTAACACTAAAAACTAAATTGAAATATTAACACTAAAATTAGGGGGTTCTTTATTGCTTTTCTCATTTTCTCTATCCTACTAAGAACATGCTACAATCATGTCTCTCAATGCAGCTTGGGAAACATCTCGTCACTGCTAGCTATGTTGATGATTCCATGTCAAAGCTAGATGGAGTAGCAAAGAATGCTGGTATTACTATTCTTGGTGAGATGGGCTTGGACCCAGGCATAGGTAAGTTATATCCAAGACATTTGCTGTGTTTCTGGACAAGTTTTTGCTGCATAAAACAGAGATTTTAAAAAAATGTGAGCAATATTGTATGTATTCAAATCTCTTTAAAGTATGAATTCAAGAAATGTGTTCTGAATGTTTTGTGTTTTTGTTGGATTTTGATATTTGGGATGTTGAATTTGTTAGATGTTTTATGTTTTTTTTTTTTAATGAATATATGATATTTGGATATTGGATTTATTGGATGTTTTAAGTTTTTTAATGAATATTTAGTATTTGGAATGTTGGATGCATCATGGTTATTGAAAATATTGAAGTTTTTGTCTAGATTATTTATTTTTTAAAAAATATCCTTAGTGTTGGCCTTGATTCGGTGAAGCCCTCACCTTGCCTCTCCTCACACTTAGGCCTTAGGAGGCCATGTCACGTCAGTTCACTTTTCGCCTTAAAAAGCACTGCTGGTGACTTTGGTATCCCTTGGACATCACTCTTTAATTTAGTTCTATTTACCTGTGTTATCAGAATCTTACGATTTGAGATTCGATTCTCAAATTTTGCAAAATCATTACGAATCTATGGGTGAATCTATTTTGAAAGTGAATCTATAGTGAATCACACAATTCACAATTCAATCAACTTTTTACGATTCATGCAATTCTTGAAACTATTGAGTCTGACATATTTTCTTTCTCTACGTTTTTATTGAAAATGACATAATACAACTTTTAAGCGTCTAGTACCAAAATAACCAATATATATATATATATATATACATGATTTGTTGTTATTTTAATGATCATAGAGTTTTTAATTGGATTCAATTAGATTCAATCAAACCCAACGTGCTTTTAACCTTTATTCTTATTTTTTTCCTTTAAATAATCATAATATATTTTCTAAAGATGTTTAAGATTAATGTAACTTACACCATTAATTATCTATTACTATTTTATTAAATTAAATATAGTTGCATATTACATGAGTGAAGTCAGTTATACATTTTAAAAGATTTTAGACTTTAAAATAAAAGATTCTAAATAATGTTTTCTTATTATTTGGTCATTGTTATTTAAAAAAAGTATGTATTCTTATTATCCAAATATTAAAATCGCTGTTAAATTATTGTTGCTTTGGAAATTGAGAGTTTATCTTTATTTACTGTCTTTATTAAGAATGGTTGATAAGAAATGTCTAAAAAAGGGAAAAAGTACGACGGTGATCTTACATAGGAACCTTTGGTAACTTCCTGCCTATTAAACCACATTATCATCATTCAAAACAACATTTTTATTGATTTAAGTTTAAATATTTCATATTCATAAGATATATTTAACATCTAAGTGTGTAGATATATTTTTTCAAGTAATTTAGAAAAAAAGACTGAATCTTTCCAATTCACGATTTGTGATTCGGTACGAGGCCATTTCAATTCATGATTCAAATCCCGATTTGACAACTATGCTATTTACTGATATAACATTTTCCATATCAACTCTTCTTCATACTTATCTCAACCAAAGCTTTGTTTTCTTTTCTGCAGCGGCCACACATCGACCTCACTTCTTCTCTACTCTGCCGCCAGTCTTTTCTTTTTGCCTCCGTCCTGGGCGGCCCTTACCGGCGTTGCCTCCGTGTTTCCCACTCTGATTTGTAATACAAAATATCTTGTAATAACATCAATACATCAATCTTGTAAGATATCAATCAATCAATAATACATAATTTCTTACATGGTATCAGAGCTAGGTTGAAAACCTAGTATTTTCGCTTCATCGGCGGGCGGCAGCCTCGCCTTGGCCGCCCGCCGGACCTCTCATCTCTCTTTCTCAGCCTTCAGCCTCTGCTTCTCGTCACGAAGCTCATTCTTCTCAGCCTTCAACTCTTTAATCTTCTCCTGCAGAGTCAAGTTTGAATCCCTCTGCTGGATGGTTTTCACAGCATGATGCGCAGCATCATGAACCACAGGATCATGTGTTGGCACTGCTTGCCATCCTGGGCTATGCCCATCTTTCTTAACACCAAGATCTGACGGGGTTAATGCAGGAGTGTCACCAACATCACCAGCATGCTTGAATTCCTGCAATTCCTTGAAGTTCATCCATGGCTTCACCCAAACTTTTGCCTCATAGAGTTTCTTCTTACCCGCATCAACAGCCTCGAGAGTTATATGGTGCAACGTACCAGCAACCACCTGTTCTTGTGCCTTCACCACCCGCACAAACTCGAAGAGTGTATTCTCTTTTTTGTTGTGTTCTTGGATGGCGAATCGGGCGAGATTATCGATATCGGCGGTGTTCTGGTTGGACGAATGAGAGTCGTGTATTCCTCCGAGAGTAGCCATGTTTGTGCTACAAATAAAGCCTTCTTCTTGAGATTGAATTTGAGATACAACTACCACCGCTGGGACTAATATCGCAACAGAGAAGCAGAACAACAAGATAGACCTCTCTACTTTCATTTCATTGTGTTAGTGACTTCCAGCACAGCAAAGCTTCCCACGTGATTTCATCTCTTCTTTTCAAAAACATCCTCAAGTGCCCCACTTTCTTTGTTTTTATATTTATTTTCCTCCATTGTTTTTTTTTTTTTTTGAACAGCAACCGCCCACTTTATTTTTTTCATCAAATTTTATTTTTTATTCTAAACCTTCATTGATACTCTCAGACATCATATTGTTCCCCACTTTTTTTTTATATATCTATATATATATATATATTTTTATTACACAAGCAAAAAAAAAAAAAAAAAAAAAAAAAAAAAAAAAAAAATCAACTAGAATCACTCCCTGGCAACGGCGCCAAAAATTTGGTGTACTATCGTAGGCAACCAAATTTAAAACCTATACTCAAATTATATGTAGTTGTGCAAGTAAGAATCGTTCTCACGGAGAGTGTTTATCCTAGTTTTTATGCAACGTGAATAAAGATGCCCATTGCTCTGATGATTCATGATAACTCGACGGATCGCACGGCCTTTGTGCCGGCGACGCATCATTCAAATTTCTGCCCTATCAACTTTTACCTGGTTGATCCTGCCAGTAGTCATATGCTTGTCTCAAAGATTAAGCCATGCATGTGTAAGTATGAACTAATTCAGACTGTGAAACTGCGAATGGCTCATTAAATCAGTTATAGTTTGTTTGATGGTATTGCTACTCGGATAACCGTAGTAATTCTAGAGCTAATACGTGCAACACGAGGACTTCCCAGGGGGTCACCCATCCTAGTACTACTCTCGCCCAAGCACGCTTAACTGCGGAGTTCTAATGGGATCCGGTGCATTAGTGCTGGTATGATCGCACCCATACAGTGTCCTCTACAACGTTATGACACCACCATACAGTGTCCTCTACCCCGTTATGACACCACCATACAGTGTCTTCACCAACGGTCTGACACGACCATACAGTGTCTCCTATCTTTTTTTTTTTATTATTTATTTTTATGTATTATCTTGTTTTGTTCCTCTCTCCAAACTCAAGTTGGTTAGTTTCTATCCTCCTTGAGTTTGCGGGGGGCTGTTAGAATTTACCATTCCCACTCACCTACTACACTCCACCTACCACCAATTTACCCTCACCTACTCCTCACCTACTACCCAAACCCTCTCCTATATAATGCCACTCTGATTTGTAATACAAAATATCTTGTAATAACATCAATACATCAATCTTGTAATATATCAATCAATCAATAATACATAATTTCTTACACATCCACAGTCCTATCTAGCATTTACTTCTGATTTGTTTCATCGTGTAAAACTATATTGTAGATACTGGGTGGGTGGAGTGCGCCATGGAGACTCTGTGTATATAGGTATCCATATCATCATGAAGAAGACAAATAGATATGGGCTTTACCTTGAGTCCTGATGTATGGAAAATTTGATTGGAAATGAACTTATCTCTTCTCCAGTTGTTTTCATGAAAATCACAGAATATCAACATACCTAACATGCTGACCATTTTCTTTTTGTTGGTGAGAAATTATAGTCAATTTTGATACCATAGAACTTTAATGACACACATATTTCTATCTTCCTTGATTTAACTTCCAATATTTTTTGAACTTTTTAAGAGTCAATCTTATATATATATATATATATAAGGTGGAGAGTATGTGGATTTAGTGGGTTAGGTTTAGTGGAGTAGGTTTAAGTGGGTGAAGTAGGTGGAGAGTATGTGGATTTAGTGGGTTAGGTTTAGTGGAGTAGGTTTAAGTGGGTGAAGTAGGTGGAGAGTATGTGGATTTAGTGGGTTAGGTTTAGTGGAGTAGGTTTAAGTGGGTGAAGTAGGTGGAGAGTAGGTGGTGGGTTAGGTTTAGTGGAGTAGGTTTAAGTGGGTGAAGTAGGTGGAGAGTAGGTGGTGGGTTAGGTTTAGTGGAGTAGGTTTAAGTGGGTGAAGTAGGTGGAGAGTAGGTGGTGGGTTAGGTTTAGTGGAGTAGGTTTAAGTGGGTGAAGTAGGTGGAGAGTAGGTGGTGGGTTAGGTTTAGTGGAGTAGGTGAGGTGGTAGTGGTGTAGTGGGTTAGGTTTAGTGGAGTAGGTTTAAGTGGGTGAAGTAGGTGATAGGTTTTAACAGAAATATTATTTAACCTCAAGTTATAAGGCATTAAGAAAAGAAATATGTTATTCAAAAAGAATATATATATTTTGTCTATATGCTATGTTCAATCAAAGCTTTCCTTAAGTTCATATAAATCAAGCTTTAGTGTTGTTAAATTGCTTGATGAATTGCCTAGTTTGTAGAAATGGTTTGAACAAGTTTAGCTGTTATACTTTCTATTACCTCTTAATACACAGAATATTTTACTGAATAATGTTTCTAGTCATAGCCGCAATTTTAACCCCCACAAAGAGCATCACACTTTAAGGTGAAGGGGGGCTGAGGGTGGTCAGTATTTTGAAATTAGAACTGCCGTTACAATAAACAGGGTATTTTTTTCCACCATTTTTGTCTCATCTTGTTAAGTTAAAAGATTCGTCATTGTTTTCAGTATAACAGTGTCCATCCTTATCAAATATTTGTGTATGATGGAAAATGTCACTGTTGGAAAGGCATTACTTGGCAATTTCATTACTAAAACTTTGTCGTGATCAATAGTTCCCAATTGGATGCTTCAGATCATATGATGGCAATGAAAATAATCAACCAAGCACATGTCAGGAGGGGGAGAATTCGATCTTTTACTTCTTATTGTGGGGGCCTCCCTTCCCCAGCAGCTGCAAATAACCCTTTAGCTTATAAATTCAGGTATGTCTTGAAGTCCACAAATTATGAATTTCCCAAAACTAATGAGAGTATCACTAGATCTCTAAATGAAATTCAACAGTAAATTTCATGTTGAGCTGGGATAGGGTACTATCTTGTTAAAACTCTTGATCAAAGTGTGCCTACCTTTCTATTATAAAATGGAAATGATGTCCCTCCTTCGATGTTAATGATTGAAATACAATTGACGATTCCAATAGAACCTGTTATTAGCAGCATACATATTGTTATTGTCATCTACTACAATTCTGAATGGTTGCCATTTCATTTGTGTATCTGTTTCATGAATGCAATATTCTTTAGTGGCAGAGTTGTTTTCTCATGTAGACAATGATATCTAGCTGTTCCTCAACTTACTTCCTGAATTATTGAGTTTTTGGTTTCACCTTTAAGTCCTACAGCATAATGAAGCAGGCAGATACTAAGTTTATTATTAAAAAACTATTTCAGCTGGAATCCAGCAGGAGCTATCCGATCTGGACGCAATCCAGCCACCTACAGATCTCATGGAGTAACTGTACATGTCGATGGTGAGTTGCCAATAATCACGGACAAGTTACAAATCTGAAAAGAGATGGGATCTAATTATACAAGTGCTGAGTTTAATTCTTTTCATAATTTTGTTACGCTCATGCCACCAATATGTATGTTGGTTACTCACGTTTATTTTTATCACCCTCACAATGTGGATAATATGAACCACTCACTTATGCCTCGTTTGGAAATGCTTCCATTTTATGTTTTCTATTTTTCATTTTCATTTTCATTTTTTTTTTTTTGGAAATTGTAAATGAAAACTTGTTTGGTAAATTGTTTTTGTGTTAAAAAAAAGTGAAATTGATTCCAAAATATTCAAATTTTGGAAACAAAAAATGATGTTTTCAAAAAAAAGTGTAACGAAATATGTATAAGAATAAAAATGTAGTATATTTTCTGTCAACATTTGTTGTTGACAACTCTGACAAGGAGGGCAATGTAATTTAAGAAATCAAAAGGGAGGTCCCTGTAATTGTCAAAAACCTCAGGGGAGATCTATGTAATTAACTCAAGTTGATTTGTTTTTATTTTTGTCACAAATAGCATCATGAAATTTTGGTTTTATAAAGGGACACGAGTAATTTTACCTTTATTGTTAATCTCAAGGGAAGTCCGTGTAATTAACCCTTTTTGTTTTCATTTTTTTCAAATCATTTTTGTACACCAAGCAAGTTTTTGTTTTTGTTTTTGTTTTTGTGTTTAACAAAACAAATAAAAACCAAAAAGAACATAACAAAACTAACAAACAGGAAAGGGTTCTTTTGTAGTTTCATGTAATTCGAGTTAGTTGCTTCTAATAAGACCACTATATTGTCATGGAAGAATTATATTTTGTTTTATCTGGAAAAAAAATTGTAAATGTTTCAGAAATGGTATAAACTTGCAGGGAATGATCTCTATGATTCAGCTGTGAGATTCCGGATGCCTGATCTTCCAGCTTTTGCATTGGAGTGTATTCCAAATCGCAATTCTTTGGTTTATGGTGACCTATATGGAATTGGACATGAAGCATTAACCATATTTCGTGGAACCCTCCGTTATGAAGGCAAGATGTTTGATTGAACTCTCAATTACATTATTCTTGAGACTAAGGTTTATAAACATGATATTTGGCATCATTGTGAATAGTGACATTTGCATTCAAAAGTTTGTGTTTTTTTTTTTTTTTGGTTTTTTCTTCTGGAGCTTAGTAACCTAGACAAGCAAAATGAAAAAGAAAATAATTCTTTGGAAACCAAAAAATATAAATTGTTTCTAGGTATACGGAAGTGTTGACTTTTTGGGCTCGCTACATTCTCATTATTTTCAATTTTGATGGCATCTAAATGTATTCAACTTACCAGCCGATTTTATGTGCAGGATTTGGTGAAATAATGGGGACAATGGCGAGAATTGGTTTCTTTAACACAGAAGCTGACCCAATACTTAAAAATGAAATTAGACCCACATATGTATCCATTCCTGCTTGAACTTCTCAGTATTCAAAGTCAGAATTTGGCAGGAACTGTGATGGGAGAGAAGGATGTCATGGAAAGAGTTATTGCACTTGGACTTTGCAAAGAGCAGGGAATGGCAGCGATGACAGCCAAAACCATCATGTAAGATGCAATGGTTCCATTGGGTGTTAATATTCAGAACATTCTCAAGTCTTAAAATATTTCATTTTTTTATGTATTTGTCAATCATTACTTCTCTTTATGCTATAATGAATGTAAAATTGAGTTGCTAGAATTCTTGATTCATGTTGGATCAGATTTTTGGGATTTCATGAGGAGACTAAAATTCCTGTATCCTGTCAAAGTGCATTTGATGTTACCTGTCTCCGCATGGAAGAGAGGCTAGCATACTGCAGCAATGAACAGGTAGTTTCATCATTTGCACATTATCCAATAGCTTTGACTCACTCGTCTTCCTCTCCCTGATTTAATCAATGAAGTGTTTGGGAGCTTCTATTTACAAAACCATTTTATCTTCTTACACCCATTTTCTTATTACACCATCCTCCAAACTTCAAAATCATCATTTTATCTCATACACCCTTCATAATTCCTAATATATCCTCGTTCCTAGCCTCCTATCCTCTCTTTACAACCCCTAACATTTCAAATCCTAACTCCACACCACCACCACCTCTGACAGCCAGAACCACCACTGTGACCAGCCTTGTTCTACACTGACCCAGCTCCCTCTTGCCCTTCCACCACCACAACCCATCCACCCAGGCCCCCTTCACTGCAACCCCACACTTACACCACCATGACCCAGTCCCCCAGCCACCCTTCCAACACGATCGGCCCCTCCTCCCCATCCAACCCCCACCACCACGACCCAGCACTGCCAGCCTTGTCCAACCCCCACCACCATGACCCAGCCCCACTATTGTAACTAGCCTCCCCCACCACTGCGATAACAAGAGAGAAGGGGAGGGGGGAGAAAAAGGCAAGGGGAGGGGCTAGGAGTGGCGGTGGCTGCCAAAGGGCTAGGGGTGTCGATGGTGAGTGGTGGCCGATGGGCCAATCGGGTGGGCGGAAGGAGAGGGATGGCGGCAACATTTGTCAGCACCTGCATGTAAACAAGAGCTAGATGAACAAAGCATGTTCGGGTATATATATGCAATATCTTTTAGCTCAATGTTTGAAAATTTTACTTTACCACGTTTTGTGGTCAGGACATGGTGCTTTTGCACCATGAAGTGGAGGTAGACTTCCCAGATGGCCAACCTGCAGAGAACCATCACGCCACTCTACTGGAATTTGGGAGGACTAAGGATGGGAAAACAACCACTGCTATGGCTTTCACCGTTGGGGTTCCAGCAGCCATTGGAGCTCTGGTATCCACTTGTTTCATATCCGTGTTTTTTTTTCACACCAAGATCTGAATCATTGCTGGAACTATATTTATGTTACTTCAATTGTCACAGCTCTTACTTGCAAACAAGATCAAGACAAAGGGTGTCTTAAGGCCCATTGAGCCTGAAGTTTATGTGCCAGGTAATTGCAATTCACTTGTTTGTGTCTGATTCTATTGGTTTATAATAGACAATTATGTCCAATTCCATGGCTTCCGCCCTTTTTAGTGTGGGGATTTTTCCCAACATTTCAATCCATGGTATATTTGCCATAAAACATAGGCCAACACATGGGTGTTATATATTGCACTTCCAACAACACTTTCTAGATACATACAATAAACACACATGAGCTATCTCTGGTGAAAATTGTCAATCATTTAATGGCATGCCATTCTTTGTGCTTTCATTTATTGTCATAACATTGTCGTTAAGTAACTACAATTTAGCGAAGGTTACTTTGGAACTATCCTTCATTTCATATTTCATTTCTTGACTATTTATTCATGTTTGCAGCACTAGATATCTTACAGGCTTATGGGATCAAGTTGCTGGAGAAGATCGATTGACTTGGATTGCTTTTTATATCATACTGTGTAGATATGCACATTTCATACTGGTCTATATATTCATTCTAAAGATGAATATGGTTGTGATATCTAATAAAAGTGATAGTGATGGTGTGATTAAAGTTACATATGAATTGGTGCAGGTGTAAAATCATTAACTTTGACTAACATGGCAACGAAGAGGACTCTGGTTGTCAGTTACTCTAAAAACCTGCATCTAAGATGAAGCAAATCATGATCAAGGCCTTCCCACTCCCTACATGGATAAAGAAGTACTTTTTGGACTAAAACTGAGTAGGGATTTGGAAGAGCACTCCAAACATGATATAATATATGCGTGCTGCTAATAATACCTCTATTAATACTTTGGACCCCTATTTCTTTGAATTCTTACCTACAAAATTCAAAATTGAAAAAATTTCTAAGGACATCCCACATAATACCAAAACTATCATTCTAAAAACACTACAACTACCAAAATGCACACCCCCTCCTAAAAACCCTTCAATTTCCCAAAACCCTAACAGTCCACCCCTCCCAAAACCATATGAAAATCGATGTCTCACTGTCAAACTCACTGCACCGTTGATCTTTCTCATCACTCTCTGATGTCGATCGCTTACTGTTGACCTCGCCATTGGACCTCATGGAACCAAAATTAGATTTGTTCCTAACTCTATTCAACATTGAACTTCCAAATAAATGGAATTAGTTCGGTTAGACCTTGCCAAATTACTGCCTCTAATTTAGCTCTGTGTTGCCATTTTTTTTTGGCATATGTTTGAGAGTTCAGTATCGAAAAAACGTCGAACCATTTTCATTAATTTTTTCGGTGTGTTTGAAAAAACTCACCATTACAAGGTTAACGTTCTCTAAGCTTCGAACCTGATCCAAGCTGTGAACCACCTCCAAGCTAATTGTGATATTCTATTCCTTTCACGGTATTGGGGTTGTCCCAAAAAATTTTACTCATTGCCATTGTCAGATAAGTACGAGCCACCTAAGTTTTTTTGGAGAATACTTGTTGTCGTTGTTGCCGAAGAAGCTTGCACAAATTGGGTATTGTGATTGTGTAGGTTTTGAAGTATGTTGGTGGTGATGGAGGTGGGTGTTCTCAAAACCCTAAGTTATGATTGGGTGGAGGGTTTAATTGTGAGATAAGGTGTCCAGTTGCATTCATATATTCTTTTTACTAATTTCATTTGAGGTTATTATTGAAATAAAAAAAAAATGAAAGAAGTGGGGGGTCCAAAGTAATAATTGGGTGCTGTTAGCAGCACTCTAATATATGGATTTATCCTCCTTATATGAACACCAAACTTTAAAACCATAATTGCATCTTGAATTTGAGTACGGGTTTGTAAGAGGAAAAATAAGAGGATTTTTGTCACTTTTCCGCTTCTGTTTCTTGCTCTTTGCTCTCCACAAGTTTTTATACAAATTTATGATCCAAAATAAGATAAGAAATAGAAGGCACAAAAACTGAAAAAATGGGTTACTTGTCCTTTAAAATCTACAACAATTTTGATGGTATTGGCATCCCCTATCATATTGTATGATTCACCTACTGTGTGATAATTAATAAAGTTTGAAAAAAAAAAAACTTTACATAAAGACTTCCTAGGTTTGACCCTGGTTGTGAGAATATTTGGATTTATGTATATATGATAGTATATATTTTGTACATATTCGGAATTTAGTAAATATTCTAGTTTTCTTTTCGGCTTTAGGGTTAGACTTGTTATATAAACAGATGTATTCTTGTATTACAAATACAATGGAATATACATATTATTTCATTCAGAATTTTTACATAGTATCAGAGCCAGATTCCGATCTTAAAACCTGTGGATTATGGGCCCACCACGCTTCCTATGGCTTATTAGACTTTGAATTTTTTATTTTTTATATTAAATCTGGCACTTTTAATATAGTATCAATCTAAGCCATCCATTCATTTGTGTTATTTTGTCTTTTGAGATTATTTTTTTTTTCTTTAAAATGTTCATAGCGCTATCTTTTTCACTCTTTCAACTTTGTGTAAATTCTAATTGTGAATTTAGTCACACTGGATCATAACCCACCCCACCTTATCAACCATCGACCATATTAGAAGTTCTAATTTAGAACCACTTGTCATCAACCCCACCATGCACCTTACTACATTTGATCATACTTGCCTCTTATATCTCTCCCGTTTAGCATGCCACCACCTCTTTGCTCTTCTCCTTTCCTCAGTCACCTCCCTCACCCGTTGAAGGGATGGTGATGATTGAGTCTATGTCAAAGGGATAAAAATTGTATGTAATGTTGAGACTATCGAATGGGTGATGATAATCAATGATGAAAGAATTGAAAATCTCTTTAGAATATGACGATCAACAACAGGATTAGAATACAGGGGCTAACTACAGTCCACGTCCTCTATCCAATTCTTCAAATTGACGGTTCCTCTCTCTCTCTCTCTCTTTCTCTCTCTCTCTCTCTCTCATATGGTATGAATTAAAATCAAAGGAGCTCTCTTTCTCTCACACACATACAGTATTAATAAAAATCGAGGGAGAGGACTTGATTTGGGTGATTTGTTGTGGTTAGGAAGGGCGAATGGCAAGGGTGACTGTAGATCCGTTCAACCCGTCCAATTGACTAGATTGACCCAACTCGATTGATTTTGAGCGAATGCGTGTCCTTTAACAGACGAATGCAATGCGAATGAAATATTATCTTTGCATACCCATAGATAAGTTTAAAAAAAAAAAAAAACTACTAACAAGTAACAACATAGAATAGTATTACTAAAATATATATTTTTATGAAAATAAAAAATATATATATATATGCGTTGTCACGGTCTATTATAGACAAATAATACATATTTTTTCAGATTATTAGTTATTTGAGATTGAAAAAATTATGAATTATAATTCAAAAAAATGCTCAAAATTTGTAAAGTCCAAACCGTCAAACCAATCACATCCATTTGCTAACTCTCGCCGCCGCTCAATCCGCATCCGTCAAACCGGTAGACGGATGTAGATTGATTTTCTTTAATCCACCTAATTTAAAACTGATGACGGATGAGATGTCACTTGATCAGACCCAACTCAATCCGCAATCACTCCTAATAAAAGACATAGGGTGGAAATTGCAGTGGATGTAAGAAGAGAAGAATCTAAGGCAAAGGAAAGCCAAGGCCAACACATCCAAGCCCAAGGAAATCTTAGGCCACCCCCAGGGCAAGGAAATCTAAGGCCACCACAAGAACTAGGCCAAAGGCAAAGCTAAGGAAGTTTAAAGCCATCCCAAGGTCAAGGGTAAGATAACCAATGGCCAAGTGTCAAGGTGCGCCCATCCAAGGGTCAACACCTTGAAGCCACACACATTTGTGCCTTTTGGAGAGCCAAAGACATGCTTAAGAAGTTGTTGGTGCAAGTGCAAGTAAAGGCCCAAGGCATAGTGCAAGATAGTCCAAGACATGCCATGAAGCAACCTAGCCAGCAAGTAGCAACTTTAGGCCAACTTTTAGAGGGTCAAATGTAATCTTTTTTGTCTTGTAAATTTTTATGTAAATACCTTAGTATTAAAGGTGTTTTGGGACCAAGAGTTGTAATCTTTCTATTTTTGTAGAATTTTTAAAAATCCATTATGACTCCTCAAACATAGTAGATGTTTCCTCATACCAGCTAAAAAAAGGCTTAACAAGCTATATATAAGGAGGGGGTACCTAAGTGTTGAACCAAACCACTTGTGCCTTTAATGTACCCCAACCTAGCTTATGGTAAGGCAACTTTTGTAGCACTTTTAGTGCATTGTTCAACTATTGTAATGCCTTCTTTTGAGTAATGAAAAGTTCATTTCGTCTTTAAATTGTGTAAAGCCTTTCAATTGTTGTTTACTTTAATTCTAGCTTGTTGATTGCTATTTTGTGGCTTATCTCCAATCTTATGGCTCATCAACTTAATTAATATTGTGTTTGCTTGTCTTTGCAAACTTTTTGAGCATTATTAGCGGGTTAGTGAAAAGAGTTAACTAGCGCCACACACACTTGCATATCTTGACAAGGCTTCTGCATTGCCGTTGTGTCACACTAAGGAAGGGGAGGTAGGAGAAGACGATAGCATGGAAAGGAGGGGAGGGGGTATTTGGGTAGGTGAAGGCGGGTGATAGCAGATGAGGGATAGCTAATTGGTGGCATGAAAGGGTGATGAATGGCTAATTGGTGAGAGTTAAAGAGTGTGGGGGTGGTTTTTTAGGGTGTTCTTGTATGTAAACCTGATACAACTAATAAAAATATTTTTCTTCCGTTAATGACAACAAAAACAGATAGAGAGATCATTTAAATTAATACCACTTTAACAATATTAAAAAAAAAATTGGCTAGTTGCGAAGGTTACACAACTGAATTTTTTTTGTATTTTTATAAAATTTTATTATTAGAACATAAAGTAATAAAGTCAAGGAGGCGACTTTAACATAATAGCGTAAAAAAACGCATACCCTCTCAATTATTATTATTATTATTTTCAATACAACCAAAACAAGTGTACAATAAGAATTTTAGGCAAGAAGTTAAAATATCACATCAATCTTCTATGATTTTTATACAACTAAAAAAATTTCTAAAAAATCATTTCTAAAAGCATTTAACTTCTGTTTTTTTCTTCACCTCATAAAAAAATAAAATAAAATAAAATAAAATAAAAAAACCACTTAAAAAAAGCCAAATCCCAAAACACGCTCTAATAAATCTTACCCATGGTATTTTAGGAAGTAGTTTAGTGGCGGGTGATTAATTTGCCGTATGGATTGCCTTCTTGGGCAATTTTGTTTACACGAACAGTGGCAACAAGAAACCAAAATGTCAAGTAATTTGGCATAACAGAAAATACAATGAAACCAAGTACTAAAATCAGTACGATAATGTAATCCATACAACCAAAAGAAAAGCATTTCAGATTAAGTTGGGGTTGTGTGATCCAAAATGAAACCATGAAATAAATTACGTTGGTGCTCTAACTACAATTTGACAAATACAGAAAGCAAGCCCTTTTCCCTTCATGAACCTCCACAAAAAAAAAAAAAAAAAAAAAAAAAAAAAAAAGGGGGGAAAAGGAAGGGTGGGGCCAGAGAATATATATATATATATATTGAGAGAGAGAGAGTAGATAAAAGAAAAACATTCTCTCACTCACATTTGCATATTACTGCTACCATTATAATCCAAAATCCTATCCTATTTGGCTTCCCTTGGAGCTCTACTTCATAAAATACCATGTGTAGCATTTTCACCCAATCAAATCAATATATGCTGTGATGGTGAGTTCTGAACCAGTTATGGGATAAAAACTTTCATGAAACAATCCAGGAAACTAATTGATGCTCCACCTCTTCCCAACTGTTCACTTTAGTGACCAAGGGATGTTGATTAACAGACTCTATCTTGCACCAAGGGTATGAATTCTCATAATCAAAAAGTAGAACCCTAATTCCAACTTCAGCACACTCCATGGCATATCTAGGGTTATCATCAATCAAAACCTTTGCTCCTAATGACCTGGCAGAACAAAGATAACCATGACTAAGCTCTTCACCTCCTATGTGATTTTTCACACATAGGAGGTGAGATAAAATGGTGAAGTAAATCCAATGATAACTAGCATGTCTCAAAGAAAAATAATGGGCATATATATACCTGCAAATATCAGATTTAGGTCTAGACTGCCCTTCCAAAGCAAAGTGGTTTCCAAAGTGAATCTCTTGGAACAACCCTTTGTAATGCTTCTCAATCCACTCGATCGTGTGGTCTCTGATTGCATTCTGGCGGGACCTATAAAGACCTAATCAATTATTCAGCGCTCAGCATAAGAGTAACATTTGTCAAAACAAATATCAATGGCATACGTACGTCACCACTGATAAATTACAAAATCTTGATAACTTCTGGAGAGCCTGCCGAGCACCTGGAATTGGATGAATCCCTGTCTTGAAATAAGACGTCTTAAAGAACTCATGAACACGGGTATCAGCTGCCACAGAACAACAAAATTTTGATGTTATCCGCCATATATGACCATAAAGAAGCTCTGCTGCACTATTTGGTAAAATTTTGCGCAATACCAATAGCTAAAATAGGAATGTTTTGCAATGGAGGAAACATCTAATCAGCTGTGCCATTGCCCCAACCTTAAAAATTGCAATAGAAAACATCTAGCGTCCAAATAAAATAAAATAAACAATACTCTGCTTCCTCTTCTCCAGAGAGGCAACAACAAGCCAAATCTTTTTCTTTCTTTTTTTTTGTAGGAGCATGCATTTAAGTACTGAATCCACCAGGAACATGTTACCCTTTTAGTGTTATAGTTGATCAAACTACCCAAACTCCAAATAGAGGAAAGGCATTAATGTAACTAGAGTAGCCCTTGAGCACCAATTTTTAGTTTTAATTGGAAATGCCAACAAAATTTGTAACATCATTCTTTCTTCAAATGCAAGAAACATGAAGAGTAACCGTCTCCTCATTTTAAACTCTGTTACAGACTGATTACCTCTGATCTTCAGCTCAAGATATACATATACAACATATAGAAAACAGAAAATTCTTTTATTATTAATTAACTCAGAAAGGTACAAGACAAAACAAAACCATTTTATGAACATTATTTTTTCATATACTTCGCCTTTTTGCCAGTGAAGTCTAATGTATTATCATAGAAGAAGCTTTTTTCAAGAAGATAAATGGTCTCTTTGTTCAGTGAATCACTCAAAGAAAAACAGACAAGTAATACCTTCATCACGGGAGCAGTTCCATATCTGCAACAAAGACAAAAATAAATAATTCAGATTACATAAAAATAAAATCAATATACCCAAAGCCCAAAATAAAAGAAAAGTGGGAATGGGATGAAGAGAAAATGTAATAAATTTTAATTAATTTTAGTTTAGGGTAAATTATAATTTCACCCCCCAAAGTATAGGCCATTTCTGGCTTTGGTCCTTAAAGTAAAGATTCTCCCACTTTGGTCCCTAAACTATTTGTTGTTTCTCACTTTTGGTCCAATTATCAACTCCTGTTACCATAACGGGGCAGTTTTGGATTTTCAAAATTTTCTCATTTTAGTCCCTAAGACTTAAGTTTTGTCGCTTTGGTCCCCACCTCAAACCCACCCAATTCCAAAAGCCAACTTCATATCGTAAGGACAAACATGAAAAATTACAATGGGTATGCGTCAGTCAGTCAAGAAGTAAAGATGCTGCAAATTAAAGTGTGGAGGCTAGTGGTCATTGTGAGGGTGGGGTGGGGTGGGAAACTGGTCAGTTATGGGAGTGGGAAGGTGCATAACGGAGGAAAGAAGATGGGAAAGAAAAGCAAAGCGAAGGTTCAATTGTTATGAGGTAACATTTTAGTGGATGATGTGGCAAGTTGAGATTGGGAGAACTTTATTTTTTCTTTTTATTTATTTATTTTGTGTTGTGATCCCGCGGGGGGGAGGGGGGTGTTGTTAGGGGCCAAGCTGTGAAAAGACCAAAAACTTAGGAGGGGTAAAATTATAATTGCTCTATTCCAGTCACAGAAGTATAAAACCGTCGGGTGGGTGTTGTTAGGGACCAAGCTGTGAAAAGACCAAAAACTTAGGAGGGGTAAAATTATAATTGCTCTATTCCAGTCACAGAAGTATATAACCGTCGTTAGAATTTGAACCAAAGTGGGAAGAATTTGATAGTTTAAGGACCAAAATGAGAAAAGCTTCTTACTTTAGGGGATGAAGGCGTAATTTACCTTTTAATTTATTAGCTTTGCCAACAAATTTGGCACCTTAACCGACAGTCTAAACCTTAGAAAATATTCAAGTCAATCATACTTGGCATGGCTAGAATACCAGCCAATGCAAGTGTCACGAGAGGAAATCACTTCCTTCACACAATGACACAAGAAAAATCAACACCCTTGACTACAATGGGGGAAAAGAAAGAAAAAGAAAAAAAGAAAAAGAAAAACGACATGTAAAAAAAATAACCCAATTTGTTTGTTAAAAAAAAACACATGTAAAAAATCAACACCCTTAATTCATTTGCTTGTGTCTATAACTCGTAAGAAAAACCCATCCTGAAATTTTTTGTCTTCTCTGAAGTCCCTATTTGTTTGAAGCCTTTTAGCTAGGGTAATGCTACAATACCCGTGTATACCACATGCAAGTTAAGATCTAAATTGATGTTGGTCATGAAACATTGTCGTGGTGGGGCCAACAAAATTATTAAATCAAAATTGGTAACGTTCCATTATGATGTGACTCATTGTGTTGGCTTTGGTTACAACCAAAGTGGTATTAAGTTATGACTCCAATTGGTGTTACAGCCCAATGTGCCTATGATCAATCTAAAAAAAGTACTTATATGTCATCATATTTTGATCTTTTTTATTTTGTACAATTTGTAAAAAGTACTTTATCCTATATTGATATTTTTTGTTTTGTAAATGTCAGTTCAATATTGATTGAAAATTTTATTTGTGAATTTAAAATCGTCAATTTTTATGTTTATAAAAATGAATATTTTAGTAAACAAAACTTTGGTAAGGATGTAATAAAATAAATTTTGTAGTATAATTAAGACCCCTCTTCACAAGATTTCTGGGTCCCCAGTGCTCAACTGTAGCCCAAACAGAAGGGCTTAAATCTCAAAACCAGTCAAGCTAAAGCTAGGTCAAGTAGGTTTTCAGTTGTTAACAATACTGATGGTAGACTGGTTCACAGTTTGTGCAAGACATTGCTCCATTACACCAAAAGATAAATTGCACGAAAACTTGCATCAGACACGACGCAATTTTTCGAATGCACATATTTAACTATTTTATATTTAAAAACTCCCCCTTGAAAAATCATTAAAAAAAAAGTATGATGACCCACTTGAGTGCACATCTAGCCCGCTCAAGTGTACTGCACATAGTCATGTAGAGATCTACAGTGAACCGCGTAAAACAGAACCTGGAAGACCACTTGAAGGGAGGATTGTGAAGTCCAGACTCCAGAGACATCAACCTGAAAGGGCACTCAACAGGCCGCGCTCTATTGGAAACAAGAACATTTATTGATTAAAAACAAAACGAGGTACACAAGGACCATGGCAGACAAGAAGTCCACCGAAAAAGAAAAAAACAAAAAATTACAAGTCAAATACGGTCCGTCAATCTCTAAAAATGAAAAAGCAAAAGGTATCCCCTTGAAAGAAGAAGACATTGCAGCCCAAAAGGAAGACAAGAGGTTCACTAGGTTATTGTTTCCTATTTTCCAAAACTTACATAAACTCTGTTTTCGCATCCATTGGGGACACAAGAACCTCGCATCTTTTGAGAGAGTTTGAGTAGCTTTATTTTTCTTTTTCTTAAAGGAAACATTTGGAAACCCATGTTAGTCTTGATCTAAAAACAAAAGACCTTCATGTTTTACTGAACACTTAGCTCTTGATTGAGATCTTCTTTACAAAAACTGTCACCATTGCATAACACATTCAACCACTAGCCATTAGTAACGGATCTATATTGAACAGAGAACAAAGAGCTTCATGGTTCGCTATCGAATCAAGAAAGTTTGAGTGGACCAAAGTCACATGGAGTGGAGTAAGTGAGGAACTTTGCGAAAGACTTGAAAAGTTAGGTGAAACAGATGGGGGTTGTAATTCCTTTTGTCTAGAGCCTTGTAACCCTGATTTCATAGTGGATATTGTTGGGGATGGTTTGTCTGTGGTTGTTGCCTTGGTGAGAGTTTTCCTTGAGGTTTCCATACTAAATCACCTCTTTCTTTTTTATCTTTATGCTATTTGTGTGTGGATGCCATGATTGGTTAATCACAAATTTGGAATTGGTAATAACTTAATAAGTGATCAAAGTTTGGAGCTTTGGTTGCTCATTAGGTTTGTTTAATCACCTGAGTGGATTCTATGCATTTTGATGGTTAGCCTCGCCAAAAGGAAGCCGATTGATTATTAGACCTCCTTTATTTAGTGGGTATAATTATATACTGGAAAGCTTGTGCGAGGGCATTCCTCAAATCTGTTGATGGTTCACGTTTGATTATCTATTAAATATGGTTATCAGCCTCCCACTATCATTGATACCATATCTAGTGAACAAAAACCTAAACTATAGACACAATGCGATAAGACTGATCTAGACAACATGGGCCATAACTCTAAGGCACTTAAGGCTATATTTTGTACTGTCACACTTGTTAGTTTAGCAGAATATCAAATTGTGAAATTGTTAACAAAGCTTGGGACATCCTTAAGGCTATCAAGAGCTAAGAAGCACAGACACGAGCATGCAACACGATGCGAACATTTTGACACGATAATTTTTAAAAGATACAGGACACGACATGTGGGAGACACGCTATAAAGCGCAGGTGCGGGTGCGGGTACAATACAGGTACGCCAATACGGCAAGATCTAAAAAAAATAGAATACGGGTACGGTTGGAGTACGTCAATAAATTTTTTATTTTTTATAATTTATAGTTTGAGATTCAATCTACAAATCAAAGTTCAATACCAAAATTAAAAAGAGAAATTATAAAACCAAAAGAGAAATCATAGTTCAACAATACCAATACCAATACCAATACCAAAGCAAAGTCTATAAGTTATTTTAATGACATTAAATTGGAGAAATTACAAAACAAAGTTTCATTCCAAAAGCAGGATAAGCAAAATTTAAAAATTTGAAACTTTAATTTTCACTTCCATCAAGTTTTGAATAATACATCTTTCATCTCTGGCACATCAAGTAAAGGATTTGCAATTTCTAGTAAATAAAAACTCTCTATTAAAAGTATCCCCCCAATGTCCCATAGCTTGGTGTACTCATGTACTCATGGAGTACCCAACTGCCAAAGAATGTATAAAAAGTACCCGGTACGTATTTCACCTGATACGTACACGATACTTGTACGGCACCATTTTTGGAGAACCTGTGCTTCATAGCACGTATATATTTTAAAAATAGTCACATTTACCATACCACATAGGCGGTAAAGAGTTCAGCACAAAAAAAATAGGAGGTAAAGAGTTTGGTGAAATAATCCGATGACATATAGCAACACTCATGTTTTTTTTTGGAAAATGCTATTTATCACCTGATTTATTTCACCTCTATATGTGTATTCATGCTATAAAATTCATGTATATGTAGGACTAACTATATATAAATAAACAAATAAATAAAAATAGTGAAGAGTTTGTTTGAGTGAAATATTTTGATGATATATAGCACCCTTCCCCCAAATTCCATGACATATAACATCCCTCCCACAAACAGGACACCAATGAGCGTACAAGAGATGAATAAACTAATAAAAAAGTAAGAAGTTATTGAACAGTGCCCCGCCTCCCCTGGCGAGGTACTGTAGCTCAAAGTTAGTTTAGCAAGTCTGGCACGAGGCCGCTAGAGTGAGATTTTGACAGCTAAGACTAACTACAATAGTCAAATGGATGGAACGGCTATTCTATTGTTGATGCTCTTATCTATGTAAACTTCTCTCACCCACAAAGTACTGGCTGCTTACCTTTTGGGTCATTCATTACTAGCTTGGATATGCTCCATGAGGTTCACATGTCTACTTCTACGTCCATGGGCAAGTTTTCTAGGCCCATTTATACTCAACAGTGTCTCAGAGTTCTGATTTTCATCCTCACTCCAATAAGGATCTTCCTCCTCAACACGCACTACCATACCACCACTAGCAACAATACCAGGTCCAGATGCAACAGATCTCGTCATATTTGATAGAGTTCTGAAAACATATGATAGTTCTGGAGTATCTTCATGTCCTAGACACACATCTTGATTGGCTTCAGACAAGATTGGTGTACATGTGAAGTATGGACCATCAGTGACCAAATGACGAAAATACTAAAACTGAAGAGATTTGTTTTTGTTTTTTTAGTTTCTATTTTGGTTAGATTTGTTCCCATTTTACATCTCGTGACAAAAAGGGTGAGAGAACTTAGAATATAGATGCCATGTTCATGGCTATCTGTTGTTTAAGGATTTTTTGCTCTAATTCACGTCATGTTTGATATTGTATAGCTATTTTTTTTTTTTTTTATCAACCAATATTGTCTAGCTATTTCATGCTTTATCTTAGTTCTTTACATACTTATCTCTCTTTATGCAGGATGTTTTATTATTTACTACTTTATAGTTCTTAACAAAAATCTAATGCATTTCATGACGTGTTTTGTTGAGTGTTAGATACAAGCTTAACAAAAATCTAATGCATTTCATGACGTGTTTTGTTGAGTGTTAGATACAAGGTTACAAGTTAATCCAGTTTCTCCCAGTTGATCCAAACAACGAGTCTGGTTAGATCAGTTTTTGTGGGGATCGTAGGCTAGCTATTACTCTTAGTATGAATATTTTGGGTTTCATTATTGGTAATAGAGTTTTGTCAGAAAAATGCTAAAGAGGGGAGATTGTTATAGGATAAATTACATTGGCAATATCCATGAGACAAATTGTTAAATATGTGTATTTTTTGGGGGCACGGTTGTAAGGTTAACTTTAGTATTGTGAAGATATCTATTGAAGACTAGTTCAAGGTTTGTGCAAAACTTCACTTCAATTGCATGAGCTTGCATTAGACATGGGGCACAGTTTTTCAAATGGACAAATTTAGCCTGCTTTTATATTTAAAATATTTGCCTTGAAAATTCATAAAAATCCTTAGGAACCGGCTCGAGCACACAACTTATAGACCTGCAAGGCTGCCAAGATCCAAAGAGGTCCACTTGAAACAGCACCCAAAATGCCGTTCAAGCAAAGGATCGTCTGTAGAAGTACAGAGAAACCCACCCAAAATGTGCGCGAAAGGCCACTGGTGCACACACAGATGCTGAGAGCTCCACTCAAAGTGCACTAGAAAGCCGCTTAAGTGGTCATGTGGAGGGTCGTCAGGTTGTTTTATTTTTTCCAAAACATAAATAAGTGGCTTTTGCATCTACTAGAGGACACACATGACCCTAGTAGCATTTGAGAGAGTTAAGAGAAGCTTTATTTTACAAGAAGGAAAAGAATAGAAACCCATGGTAGTCTTGATCCAAGAATAAAAGATCTTCATGTTTTACTCAAGACTTATGCTCTAAGTTGAGATGTTCTTTACAAAACTCCCGCACCGTTGCATGACACATTCAACCACTGGTTGTTGGTAACGAAATCATGCTGAATGAATGGAGATTGAAGCAAGGAGCTTCACTGAAGAAGGAAAACAGCATATGAAATATTTGTAATGCTAAATTCAAGCAAATTTTATTGGCCTTGTCAGGAAGGAAAAGACAGAACAAGAAAATAAGGGAAAAATACATATAATGCAAAGAACAGATATAGAAAGCAACTTGCTCCATAGTGGATTTGAGGCACTGCTTGTAAATGCTACGAGTTAAAGAATAAGAAAATCATAAAACAATTGCAATATAACTAACATTTTGGTAATTCACTTTCACAGATGAACCATATTAAGGCCAGCGGATAATATACCTTGAAGAACTCATAGACGTGGTACTCTGAGACTGAGTGATTCAAAGAGTAACGATCGGCAATAAACCTATTTAGAGCTGATACAAAGTTTCCGAGAACTGCATGCCAAAGAAACGTGAGATAAATGTGCGTCAGCATGAAAATCTTAGTGAGGTTGAATGGAGAATGAGAAGCATTCACAAGAAACTGCAGTACATCAAGAGGTAAATTTTTAAGACCCAAAAAAAAAAAAAAAAAAAAAAAAAAAAAAAAAGATATGCACAAGCGACCCTCATAAAACCTAAATCAATGGGTTCCAGACTTGATGCAAATAGCAACCGAGACAAGAAGAGAAGATGATAAATTGCTTGTGAAATTGAATTGTGATTGTGAGTGCGACAAAATAGTGTACTTGTCAACAAAAAAGGCTGGCTAGGAGGATCACTGGGAGATTATAAAAGCATGATCCAGGCAAGGAATTGAGTGTGCAAGTGGATTCATTACCTAGGTATATCAGTGAGGGTGCAAATCCTTTAATCATATTGAAACATTGTTGATCATTTGAAATGAAATGGCGTAAATTAATCGAGAATGCAATTTTAAAGAGAATGAATGGGGGGTGGGGATGGTAAAGAAGAGATCGAAAGAGTATGTATGTATGTATGTATGTATGTATGCACACAGTAGAGATACCCTCGTCCACGTCAACAGCAACAACAATTTTGGCAGGGAATGGTTGATCTGGGAAACCAAGGGGGCTACGAGGGTCACATGATGCAAATCTAGCAGCAGCATCGCATTCATCTTCTTCTAATCCAATCCCGGAATCACGAACTAGCTGTGGCAGGCTCGGAGCAAATGCCTGAGCATTCTGAAATGCATTGTTATGGTTTTGATGATGATGATGACGATGATGATGATTGTTGTTGCTGCTGTTGTCGTCAATCCTTTTTTTGCGGATGTAGTCCCAACTGTCGGAGGAGGAGCAACCCTTGAGAGTCAGGCCCCCATTGACACATCTTCCATTTAGTAGCAACGTAGCTCCTCCTCCTCCTCCGACAGAAGAAGAAGGAAAAGGAAAGCGGCCAATTAGGTTTGAGGAGGCGGAGGAGGAGGAAGAAGCATAAGAATGATAGTGTTGGTTGCGATGATGGTGATGTAGGAGGGCATGGGCTTGGGCTTGCAATCTCTTGGATAGCATTAATAATAATGGATCGTTTCCGCCTTGAAACAGTGAAGAGGCGGCAGCCATTAAACTACGAACCCCCAAGCGATGGCGGCGGCAGCGACTACGGTGCTGCTGCGGATCAAACAATGATAATAACGATGAACGCAGGCTTTGCCTCTTTATCATAACGATCTTCCACACACTCTCTCTCCCTCTCTCTCTCTCTCTCTATGGCATTCAATCCAACACAATCTCCCTCGCTCGCTCTCTCTTTCTCTCCTTTCCTTTCCTCTCTTTCTCTCAAATTTCCAATAAAAACGGAAGGAAAAAAAAACCTATTTCTTCTTCTTTTATGTGGCCAAATAAAATAAAAAATAAGTTTGTGGAAGAGCGATTAATTCCACTTGTACAACATCGGCAATAAGAAAGACCGAGGATTTCATTGAAGAAAAGAAATTGAATGGTAATGCTGAATTTCAACAGCTTTTAATGAAATTAGATGAGAGGCTATTCGTGAAATGGGGGAAGAAGGCGAATGCAACCTCGCAGCAACCCCCAAACCGACTTTCCTCCTTTCCTAACAACAACCTACATACATACATACATACATACATACCTACGTAAGTACACAAACTAATACAATTGATAGAGGGAGGGTTGTTTAAGGAAAAATGTTACATTGAGTTTGATGAAAATGACTTCTTTATATTTGATGAAGACATAAAAACAAGTAAATTTGAAAGTATTAATATTTTAATATTTATCATAATTAAGCATTAATTAATATTTAGTCTCATATTCATGATCAACATAATCATTTAACTTATCTTTTATTAAGTGATTTTTGTTAGGATAAAGATATCTCTACTTCTAGAGTTATACTTAGAGATGATTATACTAAATCATTTTTGAAAGAAAAAATTATTAATGGATTACGTATAAACCAATTATCAGTTAAACTTCTACTTTAGAAAGATTTAAAAAAACTCACCATAAAGAAGTAACCTTACAAGATTTACAGAAACAAAATTCACCAAATTAAATTAACAATTAAAGAATTAAAAGCTAAAGACAAATCATTAGAAGAAGAAATTGCAATATTAAATTACAGAGAAAGAAATGAGAAGAATTAAACAGAAAGAACTAAACAGTTAACTATCATCAACCAACTTGGCTCTGATACCAAAGAAAGAGCGGAAGCAAGAAAGAAAAGGCAGAAGCAAGACAGGATAAAGCATAAATTAAAACAATAAAAATACTAAAATAAACAATAACAGTAACAATAATTAAAAGATAAATAACTGAAATAAAACTAACTTACAATCGTAAATTGTCTATTGGAAATAACTTGAAAAGCCTAACTTCAAAATATAACTTGAACACAATTTTTTGAGAGTGAAAAGCAGGTGGATTCTTAATTCTTAAAAATTTTGCTTTCTCCCAGACTAGAGAAGCTCTTTTATAAGCCAAGCAGATGACTATGAGGCTTGTGACTTCAAAAGTTGGAAAGTAAGAGGTTTACTATGAAGCTTGTGACTTCAAAAGCTGGAGAGTAAGAGGCACATAGGTGCGGGGCTTTTTCCAAATTAAGCCAAATTAGAAACTTAATTCCCAAACTAGGCCTAGTTTGGACGAAATTCCCAAACTAGGCTAAAGCACTATTACAAACCACGTTTTCACTGTTTCTAGGACCCTCCCGCGAAAAATTTGTGAAATAGTAAAAGCGTGTTTACAAACCACGTTTTTAACAAAAAAAAATCCTTTTAAGAAAACGTGATTAGGAACTGCGCTTTTAATTAAATCATAAAAACTTGTTTTGAAAACACGTTTTCACTGTTGTACTCACTCTTCATTTTTATTCTCACACTCACACACACTCACTCACTCACTCTCTCTCTCATACACACACACCCACCACACTCACATTTTTTTAATATATATAAATTTTATTTTATAAATTTGGGACCAATATTAAATATATATAATAATAATTTATAATAGCAAATAATAATCAACCATATAATTTTTATAATTTTTGTAAATATAAATCATTTTTATATAATTTTTATTTTTTGAGTGGTTAGAAATAATTTTTTACAAATTAAATTGAAATAACCATACGTATGTATATAACCTGCCCAAAAGTTAAAATGATAATTATTTTTTACCCTTAAATGATAATTATTTTTTATTTTTTATTTCTTAACCAAATTAATTTTTAATTTTTTAAAAAAAATTCTAAAAATCAAACCATACACAGCCTAAAAATCTTTTGATAAGTCATTTCTTACGTTGGTAACTTATTTAATTATTTGTTAATTTTACGACATTTTTACCATCTGAGGTATGTTTGGTAACCATTTCGTTTTCAGTTTTCAATTTTGAAAAAAATTTTGTTAGTAAAATTTTAAAATTTTTGTTTAAAAATTAACGTAAACTCATTTTTTGAATTTACGTTTTTTCCTCAAATTTTAAAACTGGGACAACTATTTATAAATCAAAAAATTTATTAAACAAGTTTTTACGACAGTTTTTAAAATTTTTGTAAATATAAATTGAAAACTGGAAACGAAATGGTTACCAAACATGTCTCAGATGGTAAAAATGTCGTAAAATTAACAAATAATTAAATAAGTTACCAACGTAAGAAATGACTTATCAAAAGATTTTTAGGCTATGTATGGTTTGATTTTTAGAATTTTTTTAAAAAAATTAAAAATTAATTTGCTTAAGAAATAAAAAATAAAAAATAATTATCATGTAAGGGTAAAAAATAATTATCCTTTTAAGTTTTAGGCAGGTTATATATATACGTATAGTTGTTTCAATTTAATTTATAAAAAATTATTTCTAACCACTCAAAAAATAAAAGTTATATAAAAATTATTTATATTTACAAAAATTATAAAAATTATATAGTTGATTATTATTTGCTATTATAAATTATTATTATATATATTTAATATTGGTCCCAAATTTATAAAATAAAATTTATATATATTAAGAAAATGTGAGTGTGGTGGGTGTGTGTGTATGTGTGTGTGTGTGTGAGAGAGAGAGAGAGAGTGTGTGTGTGTGTGTGTGTGAGTGTGAGTGTGAGAATGAAAATGAAAAGCGAGTGCAACAGTGAAAACGTGTTTTCAAAACACATTTTTATGATTTAATTAAAAGTGCGGTTCCTAATCACGTTTTCTGAAGAATTTTTTTTTTTTGTTAAAAGCGTGGTTTGTAACCACGCTTTTATTATTTCATAAATTTTTCGCAGGAGGGTCCTAGAAACAGTGAAAAGCGTGGTTTGTAATAACGCTTTAGCCTAGTTTGGAAATTCCGTCCAAACTAGGCCTAGTTTGGGAATTAAGTTCCTAATTTGGCTTAATTTGGTGTGGGCAACTTTTGGTGACTGATGGAAAACTGTTTACTTTTAACTCTTTTTGCTCTCTCTCTCTCTCTCGTGACTGCATAGTTAACTGATGGAGAATCAATATATATATATATATCAAAGGAATCAATATATATATATATATCAAAGGAATCAATATATATATCAACAACTTTTCTCAAAGTAAGAGTAGTGACTGAAACTGATGTATATATGGAATCCAATGACTGTTTTAGGCATATGGGTCTTGAGCATCTTGAAATTGTGGACCATATTGATCATGACTAGTAGAGGTTTCGAATGAGGCTGATCCATCTAAAGCATCATCTTCATCTTGTGACTTGGCTTGGGCCAATAGTAACTTTGCAATCTAAATAAGTTCTTCATTATTGGTCTTGGACTTAGGTTTTGACTTGGGCTTTGACTTGGATGACTTGGATTTTGAAGGCCCAGAGCTGACTGTTGGGCTTCCAAGTCTGACTGTGGTAGGAGGAAGTGGGCTTCCTTGAGTGACTGAAGCAGTTGGCTTCTACAAAGAAGATTTAACCATTGCAAGAATAGGAACATGAATATTGATTGGAAATTCTTGCTGGACCTGCTCAATAATGCGTTGGACCTTAAAGGCATCCCACTATTTGACAAAATGCTGGCGACTGACTAGGTTGTTGGAAATATTGTATTGCCATTTAAATATCCAAGGGACTTTATATTTGGACATAAAATGGAGCAATATAGGGAATTGACTTTTATGTTGACTTAATTTATAAACTGAAGAGAAATAATTGACTTGTTTCATTAAATTAGTAGGAATAATTTTTGGAATGACACCATGTTGAGACAACCATCTCAGAAACCATGAAGGAAATTCTGACTTGAATTTATGGTAAAAAAAGAAGAACCAGAAGTGACTGTATGACTCATTTTGGTGGAAAAGGATCTTAAACCAGGCATCCATATAATCATAATAACTATATTGAATCTTGTGATTGGGAAGGTCACAAAAGAGAAAAGGGAGACCCTATTCATCCATGGATACAATATTGTGTATGTATGAAGAATGGTAAATGATTTTACTAGCATTGACTCGGTCATGAATGGGTTTGATGACTATGGACAGGTGATGAAAGATGATGTCTTTATAAAAAGTAATTGACTTTTCTAGATAACAAAAGAAACAAGAAAGAAAAGGCGGAAGCAAGAAAGAACCAAGATAGTACAAAGCAAAAATTAAGACAATAAAAATAGTAAAATAAACAATAACAGTAAAATAAAATATATTTATACTTAATTTAATTTGACACATCTTTTTCTTTTTTCTTTCTAAATCTCTTCTTAAATCTTTCAATCAAACATAGGGATCCAAAATATTTTACTAAATATTCTATCCAATGCCTCATATGAATGTGGGACTCAAACATTTAGGGTTCCTAGCATTACTCTTTACCAAGCTATTGCTTCCTCCAAAGTAAGTGGGTGGGTGGGTCTCGTTCATGAGTCTAACACCCGACCTGGCTGTCTAGGACGGCTTGTCATTTGGTGCAAGCGAAGACAGTCTGCAATAGGCAATACTCTCAGTCTGTTGAAGTTGTCTCTTCTCTTAATTTTTTTTTTCTCTTATAAGTTTTTAGGTTGATACTCAGGGTTACCTGCAAAATCTCTACATTCTGGTGTATGTAATTTAATATTTTTTTTGCTTCTTTTTCTTTGTCATGGATATACTGACATCATGATTTGTATTTCTTCTATACGTATGGATATAGCCAAATTAGGCACACCACCTGCTTGACAATATGTTTGCCTGACTAACTATCTCACACACAAATTTACTTCTCTTCCTCCTGCATATTCTACTAGGTTGTACATGAATTGAATTTGTTTAGTTTTAGAGTAAATTAAGAATCGAACTATAACAACCGGTTTTAGAAAAATTAGAATCGTAACTGAAGTGTTAAACTATGGAACTGAACCAGAATCGAACTATAAAAACCAATTTGGTTTGGTTTGATTTTACGATTTTAGAAATTTTATTTAACAATAAATATAATTGTAGAGAAGTGGTTTGGAAATACTCTTGGATCCTGAAGGACATTCCTGATCCACTGATTGCCACCTCAAAAAGGGATTAACACTCCGGTCGGGGGTGCTGGAATTAGCACTCCGATAGACAAGTTAGTATATGTCTCTCTTTTGCTTGCGTCTTAAGTTTCTTGGGTCTTATCTCACATACCTTTCTT